GCATCAGCCAATGTAGAGTACTCTGAATGTTTTGCACCCTGAACTCTCGGCCAATTCTCGCGGTGTGCAAGGGTGTTCCAATCCCAGCGGTCGAAGTCACAGTGGGGCGTGGCACAGGTTGAAGGCCGGGCGAATGAACGCGTGCCGGGTGCCTCGGGGTGCATAGGGTACTGTAGATACTCAGTCAGTTGTTTCACGTAGATAATAGCGCGTCGTGTATCATGTTCGTAATAGATAAATTCATACCATATTGTGACGGACACTCGAGCCACACACACGGTCCATGCGCTCCTCGTAATTGCAGGTGGCCTGGATCTGGGGTGGTAGTGGGTGAGAGGCGAAGGGAAATGAGAGAGTAGGAGATCATAGAGCAATGGTACGCTTACAACTTCTATCGTATTATAGTCCATATGTCCAGAGTAGGTCCAGCCACCATCGGCACAGCTGTCGCCGTCTAGGGTGGTGGAGTACGGCGAAGGATAATGAGAATGTGGTCCGCGTGAAGCCAACATACTGGTTAAAGAGAGAGTTAACGGGGAAGCTCGTGGAGGCTCGCGACAAAGGAAGTGACAGTTGAGAGCGAGGAAGATGCCGAAGAGAGGACTTTCGCAGGGTCGCGACTTTCGAGGAATAATCGAATATTTCGGATAACCTCACCGAGTACAATGGCACCTTTTGTTATATATTTATATTAACGACATAATTACTCAGTGGTCGTTCCAGAGAGAGTAATAACTGGTTTGATGCAGCGTGCTACCGGATGAAAACCTATTAACCTTAGGGTAGGCGAGTACGACTGCTTTACCCTGAGCTAAGTGCACAAATTAAATCGGGTCTTATAAAGTAGTGGAGAAGGGGATCTATTGCTGAGGACATTGCGACAAGCCGTCTGCCCTTGGACAACCAGATCACGACCCGAGGTTATCCTGTGTGGCACACGAATCCCTGCACACCTCCAGGAACTAGTCCCCTCTGGTCACTAATACCGGGGTAATGCAGCGTGCAAGTCACCCATCTATGGACCAGGTCCTTACTGGGGTCTTCTAGTACTTATATCTGGGGGTCAGCTAAGTTACGAATGATTTTAAGAAATATAAGAAGAAGTGGATCTACCGCTGAGTCTTTGTCGCAAGGCAAGGTGTTGGCGCTTGGAAATATCACCCCCGGAGGTCGCGCTATGTAGCACGCAGATCCCTCCGGCACACAGCTTCCCCCTTTCCAGACATTTTCTTCCAACAGTGCACGTGAACGATGCATATGCTCCCCATCGCCCCATCGTGCTGTTTACCGTGTCCTCCGCGAACACATTTGCGATCCTGCATGCGTACCTGTACACGAAGCGCCTCGACTCGCTGCTCAACGCGCTGCAGCCCCTCCCGGCGCACTTCGTCCCGAGCATCCTCCAGTCGGCCGCGCAGATCCACCGCAATGCAAGAGGCGGGCGGCGTAGCACGTCGTGGCCACCCTCGGCTACTTCTCAGACCACCTCGCGCGTTACGCTGGGCTTGTGCACTCGCTGTGGAAGAATGTGTTGTTTTCCGCATTGCATTGGATATTCGGATGTGTTTGACCGTGTTGTCTACTTACTTAGGTGGCAAATGAATGAAAAGAATTTGCCGTGCGGTTAGGGCTTCCACTCGACGAGAATACGATGAGCGCGATCGAACCACACCGTATGTCTGAAAAATCGGCGTGGTCTAGCAGGATCGGCTTGACTTCAATACACTGCCCTGCTTGCTTTGCCAAAGTACTTACTGGAAGATTATGCATAGAATGAGTCGCGCTTCTTATCGACTCGTAGGTGGCAAGTGCAATTGCACGCAGCCACCTCCGGGATGCCATCGGTAGTCGGCGATCCGTACAGGTAACCAGCAAGTGTGGCAAGTGAGCGACGCGCCGCTGCGGCCCTCCGACTTTAAACGCGATTGCACGCCCAGAAATATATGGAAAACACTCGAATATCAGCCCGACCTTCTGTGGATGGCGTGCAATACGGTTTTCTGGCCCCAATGAGCAAGACATACAGTGCTGCGCACGCGGAGAGTGGCAGCGTTGGAGGACGTCACAAGGTTAGGGTTCCCTGATAAGTCCTCCCATCAGTGTCGTATATATTCCTTTACCGACCTTATCATGCACTCCAGCGGCGTCTACCTCCCGTGCTCTCCGAGTCCTCCACATCGAGCCCGAAATGTCCTTTGAGAAGGTGCGCTACTGCGAAGACCCTGGAGAGCCTGCGCTCCCCGCAACCGGTGCGGCCGAACGTCGAGGATGAGTCGGACAAGCGCCTGCGCGACCTGGGGTACAAGAGCGAGTTCCGGCGGGAGATGAGCTTGTTCGGAGTCTTGGGGATATCGTTCTGCGCGGTCGGGATCTTGATAGGGATAAGCAGCGCGTCGCTGTTCTCGGGTGGGCGTTGGGGTTGTTCTGGGGGTAGAACGTGAGTGATTTGTTCTATGTGTGCGTTCCAGTGGTGGACGGGTGATGGGTATCGTGAATAGACATAGCTATACAGTTTTTTTATGCTGCTCATTGAGCTATGGTTTGCAGAGATGTGTAGTGCACAGTGAGTGGTGTTGTGTTGGGTGCATTTCTAGCCGCTGATTGAAACTTGCCCGGCAATTGGAAGCCTCTACTTCTGGGTGTGCAAGATGAAACCAGACATACCTGCGCCTGGCTGTAAGTAACATCTGGCTTCACGCAAGCGTCACGGTCTGATTGCTGCCAGTTTGCACCGGGTGGATCTACTCCATCGCCACATCGGGGAATCTCAGGCAAGTATCCGTATTACTCGCTGTACCAATCATGTCACTCGTATATTCAAGTGTAGCACTTTGCCTCGCGTCGCTCGCTGAAGTCGGTCAAGGGACGACCATTGGGGCGTGAAGGCGATCGGAGGGATGAGTTTTTTCAATGTCTGGTGGACGCCAGGAGAGACGCTCGTCCTTGTGATAACTCTCCTCGTAGAAGCGCCTGTAAAGGTACGCACGGGATGTCTCCCATTTCACCCGGATGGTATGTGTATGAATCGCGCGCGTACAACTCGGCTGAATTGAGACTTTGAAAGTAAGTGTGCAATCGCGACCTGGGTCTGGAACACTTGTGTATATTACTGAACGCTGTTATTTCAGGATCACGGTCTGGAGCTCCCGGGGGTTCGTGGTCCTCCTCGGCTTCCTCCCAGCAGTCTACACCCTCGAGGGCTGCGTGACCGCCGCGCAAGTCGCCCAAGAAGCCAAGAGCGCAGGCTTCCTTGCCCCAACCGCCGTTGTCTTCTCCATCGTCGGCTCCTGGCTCGTCGGGCTCGCGTACATGCTCGAGCACCTCTTCTCCGTGCAATCCATCGCCTCCGTCCAGGGCACGTCGTACGCGATCCCCATCGCGCAATCGTATCATGACACAGTGGGGAAGAGGCTGACGCCGCGGCCCAGTTTATGGCGGCGGTGACGGCGTTCACGGCGAGCTCGCGGTTGTTTTATGCTCCTGCTAGGGATAACTCGATACCCATGCGGACGGTTTATGGCCCTGAACAGGAACCAGACGCCATATTTTGTCGTGTGGACGTCGGTGCTAATTGGATGCATCATCTCTTGTGCGTACATCGGCTCGACCGTTCCGGTAAGAGGTACCAGCTCCCGGATACGTTGCGTGAAGTTAATGATGTCCGTAGTTCAGCGCCGTTCTGTCATGTGCAGTTGTAGATGTAATGTCGAGCTACCTCCAGCCTATCCTCATCCGCTGTTTCTGACCCGAACCGTACGTTTGCAGTGATCTAAGATATATTGCAGCAACAATGACGCGGCCCGTCATTAAGGCTTTCCGAGCGCGGAACATTCTCTCTCGGCAGCTATTCCTGGCCGATTAACGTCGCCAGCGCCGTGGCAAGCCAGTTATCCAGCCCTCTGGTGATGCTCGCTGATATGATATTAATTTCTGAAGTTTACCGTGTTCATCCTTGTCTTGTTCATCCTGTATACCTCCTATCCGGTGGACTCGATCAACATGAACTACGCTTTCCTCGCGACCGGACCTGCCATTCTTCTCTTGGCTTTTGTGTGGGTGGCATTTGGGAGGTACAGGTCCATCAGGATGTGAAGGGGTGATATATATACGGACGCTTGTGACTGTCAAGGAGGGTGAGAGGGAATGAACTTGAGTTTCTATGTCTGGCCCTATTCGATTAGTGTTGCTTCTCAGATCAATGCTGGAAATTCAGGCCGATCTTGGACGATTCAGGATTAGTTGGATCTACATGTCCGTCTGGCTTATGGTGAGGTCCGAGCACTGAGTACAATACGCCGAATGAGTCACCGGAAAAGCGTAAAAGCATTTGAGACAAAGATCAAACTTTGTTCATGGAGTTGCCTTCCATGATAGACGAGCGATACTGAAGAAAGATCATGTTCGATGCGAGGATTAGCTTCTTGCTCGCGTAAGTAGAAGCAGCATTGTTCCACTTCTGCTGAACAACTCTGAGATGGACAATCATAAACAAAATAGGATACTTGACCCGAGTATTCCCATGTTTTCCGCAGGCCCAATACGGGTACTTAATGTATCCAGTAGCATGCGGTTGCTTCTGGTCCATCTCAGGAAATTGGCACAGGTGCACGGAGGACTGAAAGAGGATGTCACGTCCCGCATCGCCAATAAGTCGACGCGAGTGTGAGCGATTATCATTCACGCTCCACGGTTGCTGGCAGGGCGTATTCCAAAGGTGAGATCTGAGACTCCATCGAGGCCCGGGAACACGAGTTATATTGTCACGTGCCGCCTTCGACCGCGGCAACGTGAGAAATTCTTCTAGATCTCGTCTCTTGCCACAACACGCGTTCGTCGCGCATCACCATTAACATTGGTTGCGGAACTCATCAACACGTGCATTTTAAGGCCACATAGAATCACTCAGCACAATGGACAATGAACAGCGGAGTTCAAACTCCAGCGATTTAACAAGCTCGGTGGGCGGCCATCGCTTTTCGTCCCTCTTTCCTGCTGACTGTTGCACCAATGTCCGAACCTGCTGCAACACCACCTCCGGATACTCCTCTACCTGCATCTCCGTCTCCCCCACCTCTCGATGATGTCGCCGTGCCTATGCCCGCTCCTCCGGATGTCAATGCCACATCGGCCGCTGGTGCCTCTGGCGACGACGTTGAACGTCCTCATACACCACCCGCAAAAAATAATCCTCCTATAACATTCAATACACCGACATCCTTCCCGTCGGAACGGCCGCTCTCTTGCGCTCGCAAATTTCAGTCGCAGGACATGCCTCTGGAAACTGCACGGACAGAGGCGGGCGGAGAAGCGTCCAGACTATGCGTTGGTCCAGTGCGTATCAAGGACTTCATGCGTATTACCTTTCGTCGGCAGTTCAAGGATGTCGTCCAAGACGTCCCTCAGGTAATAGCTCCGGAAACTCGGGACAAAGTGTCCGACTTACTCCACGGCGTTCCTACGGGGCCTGGCGCTGAACTGCAAATGTATAGTCCTTTGGTACGTATTAATGCTTGTGTATTATATACCCCAATACTTACTTGTCTCAAACGAACTGCAGAAGGAGGCAATGAACGAGATGTGCTCGTCTCTGTGGGGCGGCAATCCTCCCGTCGAATTCGAGACTGTCAGTCATAGCAAAGATGCGAAGGATCCAGGGTCCCCAGACCTGGTTATCAAGGCGCATGACTCGGGCAAATGTGCGTGGCCGTGCGCATTGGCGTTCGTGGAAGTCAAGCCCGAGGAGAAACAGGACCCATTTTACAATGCTGATAGTCGATCCAAGACTCCCCACCAATACCAAACGCAAGTGTGGAATCAGATCTCCCACTATGCTACCGTGTCGTTCAAACGTCGGCCCCGCTGCTTCTTGTGTGGGATTGGCGTCTTTGGTAGCTATGCTCGGTTCTTTCGCTGGGATCGTTCTTCGGTTCTGGTATCCATGCCTTTCGACTACAAGGTCAACCCCAAGCCGCTTTGGCAATTCCTGGCTGGCTTTGGTGCTGCAGGGTTCTCTGGCAGCGGTGTCGACCCCTCAATAGATTTCGAGTTCCACCCCGCGCACCACGTCGAGTTGCTTCGGGAAAAGATCAGGAAGGCGAGGGAGAAGCGTCTGATTTCTGAGGAGGCCGAGATGTTGGACGACGACAGCTTGGTAGCACAGAGCAGTACAATCACGGTATTGTCAAAGTCTGGCGATAAAGTGGAGAAGTACATCACCGTGGGCCCGCCGCTCTTCACCTCGACGGCGATGCTCGGCCGAGGGACATGCACCTGGCTCGCGTTCCCTGTCCCAGGCACCGTGGAAAATCCGGAGCGCAGTAACGAGGATCATCTTGTTATCATCAAGGACTCCTGGCGCGACCCGTCTCGCAGGCTCGAGGGTGAAATATATGAGATCATTCATGCAGAGGGGCTCGTCCCTGGCGTGGCCAGGCTGCGCAGCGATATGGATATGGTCGACATGCCCGACCCAAATAAAGGAATGCATCGGACGATTGCACATCTTCTTAATAAGCACTACGGACCTCGCAAGTGTCCTCCGCGCGTCCATCATCGCTGCGTCCTTGATTCTGTGGGGATCCCACTTAGTCGATTCTCTTCTACACGTCAGGCCATGGAGGCGATCTATGACTGTATCCTAGGTGTGTACGCTCGTTATTCTTATCGCCCCTCCATGGCTCACAGTAACGTTAGGTCACGAAAGCATGGGAAAGAAGGATATCCTTCACCGGGACATCAGCATAAACAATATCATGATTAGTGCCTATCCTGACAAGGAGAAGTGCAAAGGCTTTCTCATTGACATGGAGTATGCCACCGTGGTCGGTGAACCTGGTAGTGATGGAGACCTTCGCGAGATTACGGTAAGAGTGCCAATGATAAAAGGGATTCTCAACGCTGATGGGCGGTGTTATACAGGGTACTTTGCAATTTCTGTCAACTACGCGCGTTCGAGAGCCAGGGTTGGATTTACCCATTCACAAGACTTGGAATGACCTGGAATCGTTCTTTTGGTCTATCGTGTATCTCTTCGCCCATCACAGGCCGAATACCATGTCCGATGAATGGATCGTTCACATCTTCGTCAGCGCCGATCGGTCCCGAAGAATTCACTTCTTCCTGGAACATGTGAAAAATGTGAAGATTCTGTGTGACAACCCTGGTCATATTGAAGGTGGCACAAACGGTGAAGGTCCCACGGGAAACGCATTGATTCATATCCCGTTGACGTCTTGTATTCACAACATTTCGGATCTCATCGCCAGCCATCATCCGCACCCAGTCTATTACGCACAGCTCCACGAGGTGAAACCGGAGCTGTTCTCTCAGCTTGATACCCATGAGTATATCAAGCGTGTCATCCGCGAAGCTTTGGACTCCGATGGCTGGCCTGATTCACACGATGGGTCGACACCCAAGCGCCGTATATCACCGCCCAAGAAGGCTGTCTTGGACATTACTGCGTCGAATCTCACGACCGGGATCGAATCGACTCCGGCATCGGGGAGCAAGCGTAAGCGTCACGATAACAGTGATGAGGACAAGTCTATCAAACGCGCACGTCATGGCAAGATGGACGGGAATGGGCACGTGGAGGAAGGATATCTGGCGGATTCTGACGAGGAAGGAGAACTTCCTTCTGATCTCGAATAGTATGGCTTTGGTGTGGTGGATATAGGGCCGTGAAATGTTGTGCGATAGCTCTTGACGTCTCTGTTGCAGTAGTCGTGTCTGGCTGGTACGTATATATGCTGTTGCACCATCTATTTCTTTTCTTTGCATTGTGTTTGGGTCTGAATCCTTTCTCAATACGTCGATCTGGTCAGGACAGGGCCGTGTCTACGGATGCCCATTCACGACATTGCAACAAGTAACAGGCTGATAGACGTCTCAACTTTCTGTGGCTGCATATGCTTCATGACTGGATGTGCTGATTTACACAACACGCCTCCACGACAACACACCTCTACGACGTTGACGTCGTGACAGCCCAAGTTGATACATAGCACTGCTGACAAAATCTCGTCTTTTCATGTCCTTATCCCTTTACGATCATCTGATCAGCGAGTCCTCTTCCAAGCCGGTTTATGTACGGAGCAACGACTACCGCTGTCGCTGTTCTTCAAGTTAATGGCCATCGAATATACTCCTTCTTGTTTCACTTGCGGCAACGGCGGAAGCTTGACTTCTCGGACGATAATTATCTAAATCTCATCTGCAGTCGTGATTTTAGCCATCCGGCGTGCAGGGAACACTACTGTCGGGATGTACCATGGAGACATCCGAACAGCTCGCTCAACCTAATATGGCTCTGAGTGAACTCTCTCAAGCACAAGCTTAATTCCCATCTGACGCCGGTGCGTCATGTGTGAACATCCTGATATATAACGCTGCGCACATCTTGACACATCCATGCGCCCTTGTTATTGGACGAGTACCCTCGGTCGACTTCTACTCCTCGTCTCTCCGCGATATAGATGAACGCCAGAGTGCCTTGTATTGTAAGTAAACTGCTCTGAAACGCACGGAGGACCTAGGCCTCGGTGCAGTCCCCGCTGCAGTACTAGTATCCGTATCATGACATCAACCGCTGTATCACCTCTGAGGTCTGAAGGTTGATTAGAAGTCACCTGATCCTTTCCAGGGCGGCGTGCTCTGGCATCCGACAGCAATGGATATTCATCTCAACAATGCACAACTCATCCGTTTCCCTGGGACTCGATTTTTCTGAAACACCGGTAGCAGGTGTCCGAAAATTCGCTAGTGCCCACTAGTTCATCTCCGCGGCCTGGAGGTCCTGGTTCATCACGGCCTTCACGTCAAGCCTCGCAACCACTCCTGTTTCGCTCTCGGCGTTCCATGGCATCATTTCTGTGGAATGCCGGGACTGTCAGGTAAAATTCGAAACTCTAAACATCCTGAAAATCCCCACCGATTGACATGCATGCCATGCATGATTTGTTCATGAAATTTTAACCCAGTGCCGCGTCCAGCAGCTCCAGCGTCGATGGTCGATCGCAGCGGTCACATGGTGGTGCTTTCGGACCTAATCACGATTCACGACTATCTTAGTAAAACGAGGCAAGGCCAACCGTACGCACCCTCTCGCTTAAAGGATAATTGAGGACCCACAACGCCTCAGCTAATTGTTACGCTAACAATCTGATGCGCCTCACGGGTAGACTAATGCGGACTTTCTGATGCTTGAAATCTCGAGGCGAGGGTGCGGGGCGGCGACCCGGATACCTCGGGCGGCTGTGTGAGGTCATCGCGGGGATTGTGATCTCCACTCTGAACTGACCTTTGGACGTCGACTTCGGGGATCTGGTGCGCAAGAGGGGCGACACTGGCCACCAATGAAGCATGGACAGGTATATTTCCACGTTCTGGATGCGTCCGGAACTACTTACATCGGGCAACGCATAGTCCACACGCGGAACGAGAGACTGATCGCTTGTTCTCATTTCCTGCGTCACTCTTACTCGCGAATCGCCTGCTGCCGCTTGTCTCCCGTCACCCCCCTTTGGCAAGAAAGGAACATCGTTGGCTCCTGGCTCATCAGGCTCGCGTGCATTATCGCACTTCTCTTCTGTGCGCAATCCATCGCCTTTGTCTAGGCCACGTCGTATGCGATCACCATAGCTCAGCGGCATTATGACACGGTGGGAAAGAGGCTGATATGTGCGGCACATTTTATGGCGGCGGTCACCGCATTCACCGCCAGCTCTACCTGCGCTGCCAGTGGCGAGGGATAATGCGAGGCAGGTTTATGGCGCTCAAGCCTTATTTCGGCGTGTGGGTATCAGTGCTGATTGGGTGCATCATCATCTGCGGATATATCGGCTCTACCGTTGCGGTAGGTGAGTTGCTGACCAGGTTCGCGTCGTGACATTGACGTCCTCGTAGTTTGACACCATACTGTCGTCTGCGACTGGGGCTGTTATGTTGTGCTACCTTCAGTCCAGGTTATTAGAACGAGGGTCGTTCTCCCATGACCGGTATTCCTGGCCAATTAACGTCTTCAGCGCTTTTGAAAGTAAAAAATTCCCCCGTCTCCTTGGAGAATCACTGTGATGCCTTGATCTTCTTCTCCTCAATTTCATGTGTTTTTCTTTCCATCCTGTCTACCTGCTACCCGGTGGACTCGATAGACATGACCTTTGCCGTCCTCGCGATCGGAGTTGTCATGCTTCCGTGGAAAACCCAGACATCGATTAGACAGGATGTCTGGGGTCTTTCCCTTTGTCTTTCCTTCTCAACGGTCAGAATCTCAGCCGACCGAACCGTCCAAACGCTCTTTCTCTCCAGCTGTGCCGTGCGGCGTGGCTTATCAGATGGGTAACAGACCGTTAAAAGCCGTGCGGATGCCCAGCGGTCCTGCCTCCTGTCATGATCCCTCAGACGGGTGCCAGTTGTCTCTGGTTTCGTCTTACTCATGACGACGGAAGCGCGATTTGAGATCGTTCGGACGGAGGAACTGTGAGCTTTGTGTCCCTCTATCCTATATAAAAAGCTCATAGTCTCATAGGTATCGAACACGACGACGCAGTCGCAGTATGATATGTCCATTGATCTCAGAAGCCTCGAATTAGAAGGTCATACGCCACCCTAAAGTTGTGGCGGATACGGAAACTCTCCTACTCATAGTCCGAACCTTTCTCCAGCGTATCTATGTCCATCTCTTGACCCCCAACGCTTCTGTCAACGGTAAGTCTCCGCTTCGATGATGATTCATCCCACTCTCCTCACCGGTCTACGAATAATTCCTGTAAAGTGGTTCCCCCTCTGCTCTATGCTCATCAAGATAATATTTTCTACCTGTGTTCGCTCGCGGCTGCACTTGCAGACTCGAGATGGATGCCCTGATTGCTGGCATACACTTCGCCTCTGGGTCTATCAATGGGTAAGCACTGTATTGGTACAGAAATATATGATGTCGCTTACTTCACTCTGTCTATACCAGCGCTTAAATTGTCGAACAATAATGCGAGCCAAGTCTCGGACTCTGATCGTATCGCCGGATACGTTCAAATTAACCCTACGGCCTGACCGTGTTGTCGGTACTAAGGATACGTTATCAGACTGGTAAGCTTCGACTTCTGCTATTGTCAGAAGACCAGACCTACTTTGAATCCGATGAGACAAGGCTGATATCCGCCTTCGTGTCTCATTAGCATTATGTCGTCTCGACGTCCCCACCCCTCCATACTGTCTCCATCGAGCACCTCGACGAATACACCTTTGAATACACAGCGCTCTCGAATGGACTTGTCTCTGATTCCAATTGAGATTGTTCCTTCGATCTTTCGTGGCCTTTTTCGTTATTTCGGTGCTGGGGCATGGCGCGGCGCAAGCCACGCTGCCTTCTTCGCCATCGACTGGGGCGGTCGATAAAGCGGAAGACATACTGTCGGCCATAGGAGGTAGATTCACCCCATGACGACGATCTAGCGACTGACTGCGGGGGAGCTAAGGTGTTCCCATCTGCCTCTGTCGCTGGTTGATCCGAAATTTCGGTGAGTTGATATGAATGGTTCTCGGGAGCCGTCGATTGACTCATTTCAGGCGTCAATGGCTGGAACTCCGGGAGGGGGTGATAGGGTTCATGTGTATCACCAAAAGACCCTATTCCCTGTGCGGGCCATACTTGGCTTGGATTCATCATTGCCGCGTATAACTGGGGAGATGCCCTGGTGAGCACTTGCGGTGGACAACACACGTACCTTCTCCGCCTCATAGAAGGCTGTCGAAGGGAGGTAGTCATATGAGCTGGCCACTTCCTGATAAGGATATACGAGAAGTCCTCCTGGGCTTGTCCTGCCTCCGGCACATGCAGCTAGAAGACCGAGAATCAATATCCAAGGTCAGAAGATTATGTAGGTGCGCTCGCACCTGATCCTCTCTGTAATTACATGTGCCTCGAAGGCCCGTATCTTTGAACACAACGTGGTCGAGGTTTTGCGTATCCTGCAAATCAATGTTGAATTGGTACGTGACAGCTGTGCCTTCGCTGTGTACGAAGCTTCCCAGCTTTCCGTGGAACTAGGACGACATGAGGCTCAGTCCTGAAGTTAGACTGTAAGTGAGAGCTCATACGTGATTATCTCCTTTATCGATCTCCAGACAGGGTTCAGCGAGCGATTCTCTGTTCTCTACCTCTCCCCACCCTCCCGCAGGCGTCATCTGTGGAGTAGAGAACATTGATAACTTACTGCCGCCGCCGTGGCCAGGCGTTACCATTGATATGGGAGTATCATACCCCTCAAATAGCTGTACTGCACCGGTGTGGATCCCGTCCCGTGGCTGTCCAGATTCCGTAGGCTGGGCTGTAGCTAATAATGGTGACCCGGTCAGGTCGCAGTTGCTAGCGTACGTGGACTCGGGGGTGGCATATGCCTCGATTGCTTCCATTGCCCCACGACGAGTTGATGATATTGGCAGGTGGTACGTCGATGTTTAATGTGTCGATGGGAGTGAGGTGGTGCGGTCACCAGACGCAGGGAAATTCGGCAATGTGGGGGAGGTAGATATTGCAGTGGATGGGCATGGCTCCTCAGATATCTATCTGAGCTTTGATATTGATCCATTGTACAAGAATAAGTATACCTTTGATTCTCCGCTCTCGCCGAGTGCACCAGTCAATGTCGAGTAGGGAGCAGCCGTAACACCACTGGAGGCGAGAACGGTAGGCAAGCGCTCCACGTATATATAGACAGGTTGCTGTTGCTCATCCGTCTGTCCAAGCATTGGGTACTCATCATTGCCACCAGGTGAGTAAACCCCCGTACCTTGCCCACAACCCGTTCTACTAATGCATCCGCCAATGTAGAGTCCTCAGATATCTTGGCACCCTGAAGTGTCTGCCATTCTTGGTTGCAGGCGAGGGCGTCCCAGTCTCCGCCCTCCAAGTCGTAATGGGATGTGGCACCGGTTGAAGACCCGACTCAAGTAGGCATGCCGGATGACTCGGGGGGCGTAGTGTGCTGAGATATAGAGTTAGTCATTTTGCGAAGATACTGGCTCGCCATGTAGCAAGCCTGTAATAGATAAATACGTACCGCGTCCTGATGGGTACTCGAGCCACACGTGCTATCTACGGGCTGCTGGTGGTTGCGGGTGGAATGGAGATGGGTTTGTAGTGGCTGAGAGATGAAGGAACGTAAGAGGGCAGGATATCAAGAGGTTCACGGTCTACTTACAACTTCCATCACATTATATCCCATATCCCGAGAGTAAGTCCAAGGACCATCGATACAGTTGTCACCGTGTAGCGTGGTGGAGTACGGCAAAGAATCATAATTACATGGTCGGCGTAAAGCTGACATAGTGGTTGCTGGAGAAGTTAACTGGGAAGATTGCAGTGGATGGGGACAAAGGAAGTGATAGTTGAAAGCAAGGAAGATGCCGAGGAGAGGACTTTCGCAGGGTCACGACTTGGGCGAAATAATCGAATATCTACGCGAAATCCTGACAGCGTACAATCTAACCTTGTCTTATATCTATGTATATCAGCAACATAATTACTCGATGGTAGTCCCAGGGCCAGTTATAACTGATTTGATGTCGCGTGCTATGGGATAAGAACCCATTCACCTTAGGGGTGAGCGAGTACGGCTGCTTTTCCTTTCAGCTAACTCAACAAACCAGTTAGATCTTGAACATAGGAGGACAAGTGCCTCCGAGGGAATTGCAACACGCCGTCTGTCCTTGGAAAACCAGACCACCACCGGAGATCATACTGTGTGGCACCTGAATCCCTGCACCCGTCAGGAATTAGCTCCCTCGAGTCGGTGGCCCCCATAATTCCCGTATGTTGTACTAGTTCTTGGTAACATTTGAGATAATCCCCGTCTCGCAATGAAGCCTGACCTGTGCTGCATTGCATGAAACTGCCCGACGAGCTTATGCATATTACCGCACATGGCAAGTAAAGACCTATATATAAATACATCGAACTCCGTGACCAAGCATCGATCAGCCGGAGTGTCTGGGGTCTTCTTCTCATCGGTCATACAACATCGACACAACATTCCTTGTCTCCTGCGCTGACATTCGCAGAGCTTGTCTGATGCAGAAATGGATCCCATATTACACTCAGCGATCTTATCCATCTCCGTGAACTGCCTGCATCGAAGAATTAGTAGCCTGTTATTGAACAGTCTTGTCTGGTTTCGTTGCGTGAGTCCACGACGAATGCCATCGGGATGAATGATTTTTGAGGCTTGTGAGTCCCTGCTTGAATAACGTACTCCTGAAGTCTTTCTCCAATGCTTCGCGATGGCCCGAGCATAGAATGCTATGTCCATCATCGCACGACTCAAGATATCAAACCCTTGTAAGTCGCACTAAAGCTGTTGCTGACACTGACGTCGTCCTATTTACATTCCTATCCCTCCTTTCTACACCATCTCTATCTTCCTCCTTCGTCTCTCCACCACCGATACCTCTTTCGATGGTTCACCCGCCGGTCCTTGGATGTATCCTTTGGGATTGTTGCCTGGTGCTTTCGGAGTTTTTTTCGTTCTTTCAGTGCTGGGGACCTTTCATCCCACACTGCCCTTTCTGCCGTCGACGTTTCCGGCTGGTACGAGAGGAATACGTATTGTCGGCCATGTGGAGTAGATTCGTCCAATGTCGATGATCCAGCGACCGATTGCGCGTGAGCTGAGGTGTTCGCCTGTAGCTCAGTCGCTTGTTGTGCCGAATATTTGGTGAGTTCATTCGTTGGATTCTCCGGAACCGACCATTGACTCAGTTCAGATGTCAATGGCTGTAATAGCTCCGGAGTTGAATATGGTAGTGATGCACATCGCGCATGGACCCTATCCATTGTGTGGGCCAAAATGGGCCGGGTCCTATCGCTGACGCGTACAGCTGGTAACACGCGTGGGTCAGTCCCTCGGGGTTGAACACACATAAATCAACTCGTACTTCGGGTGTCTTTCGCGAAGTAGCGAGATTTCCTCGCCACGTTCGAATAGGTATAAAGCACAAGTCCTCCAAAGCTTGTGCATGATTGTTTAGCGGTCCTGTCTGCTGCCCATGGAGCTGGGCAGGCTGATAAGGACAGAGGGATCGAATGTATGAAGGTGAGCTCGCAACGTACTCACTTCATTCCATGCCTCTCCGCTCCCCGAGTATGCTGACATGATCCCGTCGTCGATGGCCTGATCATGGGAGTCCTCGCCCGTTGCTTCTTCGCCAAACATATATCTGTCGGGGCACTCGTAGGGCTAGAAAGATACTTAGTCCGTCTCAATGGTCGCAAATTATGGTATATTGTGCGGGTGAGAGCTCGTACCTGATTCCCGCCTTGGTCTGACCTCTCGAGATACGAATGGGCGAGTAACTCTGCGCTTCTTCCATCCCTGCACCCTTCCGAAGGTATGCCCTGTGGAGTAGACGATACTGATGGTGTACTCTCATCCGTCTCTCCAGACGTTGTCATCGATATGGGTGTAGCATAGCCCTGGAATTCATCTAATAGCTCACAATGGATCCCGCCCGTTGGCGATCTATATCCCGAGAGCCGAGGCGCGGATGAAGGTGAATCGGACAGTTACCTGGATAGCTCCTTCATATAGGGTCTGTCCAGTCTCATACATGTACGGACCCGAGCTAGTTAAACCGGACCAGTTCCGTGAAACAGGTGAGTTTACGGAGGGTAAGCCCACGCTAACGATGGGCCCTGTCTGAGCTGCGTAGAGCTAGTATGACCCTGAATTAGGGCCGACGATCGCAAGGTACGGACGCAACTACCTACCATATTGCCACCGTGATACAGTGTCTCCTCGGACCATGCTTGGGTGGACAGATGACCACCGTTCGCATTTGGCCACCCCTCGAGAGGCATCTCATACAGGTTTGTGAGGGCCCATCTGTGGGCAAGTGGGACCTCTACTACTGCTCCATTCAGCTAGATAGACCCAAGAGTCAGTGCCAAGGGTTCAACATGTTGTAAGCTCATACCTCATTCTCGCCTTGGCCGAGTCTCTCATGGGGCCACGCGTAGGCCAACGAGTTGGCACCTCCTGGAGCTAGCTCGTTCGCCAAAGGCATGTCCCAAGCATCTACCAATAACACTGCTCCGCTCTCAACGGGTGCGTCGTATCCTTCCGCCGCTTCGTGGTCCAAAGGTATGTTGTATCCGTCCATCGTGGACGCTACTCCGCTCATCATGCCCCCGAGGAAAGATTTGTCTGAAGTATATGCGGGCTCTGTGAGCGTCCCCAATGGCTTACATAATCCTAATGTCAGTAACGAAGGTTAGACTAGATGCAGAGGTAAGAGCTCGTACCTCACCGTTCCTTCCGAATCCTGCTCCTCCGAATCCGACATAGGCTGCCAAATGCACACCCTCTAAAGCTGGCCCCTCCTGCAAAGGTACATCGTACCCGTTCGTTGGGGACGTCAGCTTGCCCGCGATGTCACGAAAGAGAAGGTCTGTCTCTTCAGTCGGCCAAATCGACGGTGTATCTCCACTGGGGTAGATAGGCACTTCACCTTCACTCGCCACGCTACTGGGGAGAAATTCATCTGGAGATGTCGATGGACTAGACGATGCCGACGATGGAGCACCTTGGCTATACGACATTTGTGATATGGGTGTGGGGTAAGTCGACAGCCCGGGATTAGACGATCCCGAGGGCATCGTTCCGGTATTGTATACATGCGGAGTTATGAATCTAGGCATCGCAGATGGCTGCAGTAGCATCTTCCATGCCTCAGCAATTGGGCCATGCGTTGCGAATAGGTAGGTGAACACTCATACCTGGGCCTTCTCTCCTCCTCCTCCAAGCGCCCCCTCCAGCGTCGAGTATTTTGACAGTCTGGCACCTCGCAATCTCGGCCACTTCTCCAAAGAGCAAAGGTAGCGTGAGCATATGTTGGTGCAGATATAGCCAGTGGTGTCGCGTAGATAATGCTTGCGATCATTAATGAATGCAGTGACAAACCATATACCATTGCTTGAGTATGACGCGGGATATGTCCCTAGACTTGTTCTAGTGGATAAATTTGATAAGTTGGACTTTATATTGCAGCGACTTAAAGATGGAGCAAGATAAGCAAGCGTGCCAGGAATATAAGAAGGACCGCATACTTGGTCCATTTCGGAGATGTGCATATATTCTGGATTCGCAACCACACAGGTATGATTGACCCTCCTATACCATAGCGTCGAGGAATAATGAGACAGAAGGTTTGAGCTGAGCATGGTTAAAGAGCAATAAGAGTTTGCCACGTAAGAGACGAAAACGCGACTGATAGTTGAATACAAGGAAGACGTCGGGAGGGGATTTTCTCAGGCTCCGGAGTGTCGAGCGCGACCACCGATCTCCGCTATAGATATTGATTACAATCAAAAGAAAGATATGTATCCTTAATGTACGTAAAGTGTTATCGTATGAGGTATGGTTTATGTTGTGGTGGAAAACATCGGTGTGGTGTAGTGTGCCACCGAGTGCAGTGGCGTACATCGCGGTAATAGTATATATGCCAGGCTTTCAACACCCCATAAAGAAAGATCGAAACATATATATAGGCTTTATAAAGGACATGAATAATTGGCACCCTCATTGAGACGACTCGAATAGTGAATCTTTATCCCTTCTAACGCCAGATTACCGCTGCAGGCGATGCTGTATGGCACGCGGATCCTGCACTCCTTCGCTCCCCCCTTCAGGCATTTGTGTCATATACTTCACTTATATTAATTTGGCACATACCTGAACGCTATATATGACCATATCATCCTGCCCTCTGCGACGAAATCCCGTCTGTTATGCATTGCGTGCCACCCGCTGAAGTCACGAGCTAAGGTTGATAAAGTCGTCAACGGGCGTACTCCATGGGTATCAAACACATAATAAACGTAGATTTTACCGTTATAATGAGCAGCTGCCCTCTCGCAAGCTTTCGAAGTCTATTGAAACCATCGTGGGCCCCGAGCACGAGTCGGAATGATCGGGGTCCTATCCGATGGCGGGTCATCTTCAAGCCGTAAACGCGAGTCGTCTCTTGCACTTGCGCATCGCGACTCGCAACGAAGAAGCACCTTGCTGTCTCCGTTTCTTGTTTTCTTTTTTTGAAATCGACGGTCACTGGACTGGGGCAGGCTGTAGGCACTTGTTGATTGTCTGGTATATTCCGTCGCCCGTTTTCTGCGTGGCGGTAAGCTGAAGTGCCTCGCTGTCATGGAGGGCCCGCCCTGTCGTTGCGTGGTATCCTCAGTGGTAGGACAGTCTTTCCATCGCAGCAGGGTTTCTCGGATGCAGCGGCGTTTATTAGGGTAAGGGTATTAAGGAAGGCGAAGCCGTATTCTGGGTGCATCGGTGAGTTTGGGGATAGGAGGGGACGCTCAGTGTCACTGGGGAGAAGGTTTCACATAATTTGCGAGACGACATGCGGGATAAGATGGTGTGTAGTTCTTGGTACGTCTGTTTGTTCATTATGCAGCCACATCGATGCGTCGCGTATGGCGCATAAACGCAGCGGAGGTGGCCAGCGAGGTGAAGCTTTGACGTAGCGCGCTCTGCTCTCCTTCCTAATTCTGGTGAATACCTTGACCTACCTGTCCATGTCTCGTTTTGCCATGGTACGTGAATGCGAGACACCCACGCCTCGTTTCGCCCTGTGTATGAATGCGGCACATCGATGCCTCCTTTCGCCCTAGTGACTGCCTGATATCGACGTATCCTGTTTCGTCCTGATATCATGTGGGGGGACAACAACAATGTACCAGCACGTCGCAGGGCGCCGCATCGCACGTACTGGAATGGATTTTATTGTGAACCATACAGCAACCCGCCCGGAAGTGCTTCGTTGTCTCGGAGATGGATGGTATCTGCTCCACTGGCATGTGCTTCTTCTACAGTCAGTTACAGGTGAGTCTCAACTGGCTGCCCGCAGTGTACAAAGCACGACTTACATGGAATCGCGAAGAGATGTCACAACAGTTTGCAAGTCCAAGCAAGGCTGTGGAGAGTTCTGGTGAGCAGGAGGAATCACTGGCGGTATAGGCCCGGTGCGTATTTAAATTACTACTTTGTCAGTGCGGTCCATGCGGATGGTCCTTGGCATTTGCGCATCCCATTATCAATGCTAATATTGCATTAGTGGCTGGAGGAGAACGCCGAGGGTGAGTGTCCGTACTGACAGGACCGCTAATTGTTTGACCTAGCCACGACGTTTGGTTGCCGCCCCATTCATAACTCACCTATGTATGGTCATCCGGCGGCAACGAGAGATACTTAGGCGCAGCCATAACATGTCCGAGCCCGTTGGCATGCGAATATTTGTGTCAGTGGACGCATGCGACAGCAGGCGTGGAACGCCGTGTAAGTAGGTCCAACTTCTGACGCTTAGCATCAGGTGTCAGCACCCAGCACGCCTGACAGTGGATGAGGCGCCGGAGTTGTCAATGGGTATCGCGAACGATGCACCGTAGGAATTTCATCTCGTTTGACCGGACTCTAAGATCCTTCATTCGATTCATCTGTTTTGGCATTTCCATTCTAAAACTGTCGTCAATTGCTTTGTACGAATTCGAGGCTCACACCGGCGGACAACTGACTTTGAGATGACTGCCCTTGAGGCTGTCATGATTCAGGTCAGGCATGGAGAGTGGTAGAATGTGGTAGCGGAGTGCTTACTTTCACGTAACTCGTTCAGAAAAGGTACCAAAGTTTCTGCTAATGACATCGTCTTGACAGTCGACGGACTACCCGGGTGTTAGATCATTGTAAGGCAAGATATAGTGGGGGTCAGATGTACGATGTATTTGCTTATAGGCCACACACGCCATTCAGGCTCTTGTGGCGAGTGGCGTCGCGTCGCGCATGACTGGTCGCGTCTCCTCCGTCACAGTGATGATCCTGATCCGCGCTTGACCGCTCGGGATGGTTGAGTTGCCAGTTGAAATGACTCATTCTTCAATTCGTGGTGTTGTATAATATGTGGATGAAGGCTTAATGACGGACTTCAAGTTCACGTTCTGTAAATAGTCGCTGCCAAAGGCTAAGGACAAAGGGGTATACGGGGAGCTACCCCAGGACCCCGCATACCGTGTGCCTCTTACAATCGGCATCCAATCTTGGTCAGCTGTTGTACTGTCGCTGCCGCCTGCCGCTCGTCACAGCTTACTCTACGCTCGTATCGTGCTCGACAGACGCAGTAGGCCTGGCTTGTCGAGGCTAGATGTCCGACTTAGGCATCGCATTACGAAGACATCTGCCTTGAATACTTTGTTCTTGCGGTTTGAGCGGATCGTAATTATATCACCGACTACTATCAAGAACGAACGTCAAGGCAGCATGCCAGCGGCTGTGAGCGCTGCTAATGGTAACGGCGGAACGCCAGGCAGAGTAGAGGATGAGGAAGTGAAGCCATATGTAATTGTGAGTAACCTGGGGAAGGGAAGCTTTGCGATCGTGTACAAGGGCTATCATCCGGTGAGTGAGGATACTGAGAGCGGGACTACGGAGCATGACTGTTTGGCCAGGAAACGCACCGAGAAGTTGCTGTCAAGACTATCAAGCGGAGCGGCCTGAACCGGAAGCTGCTGGACAACTTACAGAGCGAGATAGACATCCTCAAGTCTCTCTCACACCGGCACATCACGAAGCTTATTGATATCATCGTAGGTACTCTTTCCCTGCGGCTTGTCATATCTAATACATCAAGTAGAATGCGGAGCATAACATCTATCTGATTATGGAGTACTGCGCGGGGGGCGATTTGACGAACTACATCCGCAAGCGCGGGCGCGTGGAGGGACTGGAGTACATCCCCGGTCCAGGTATGCCTCCACAGTACTACCCTCACCCCCGGACAGGAGGCCTGGACGAGATTGTCGTCCGTAGCTTCCTGAGGCAACTCGGTACGTCCTTCTCCCCCCAAATGCATCTTGCATATAATGTGACAAAATGCAGCCCGCGCGCTCAAATTTCTCCGACAGCGGAACCTCATCCATCGAGACATCAAACCACAGAACTTGCTGCTAAACCCCGCTAGTCCAGAGGAATTGGCTAGGGGACATCCGCTCGGCGTTCCTATCCTTAAGATCGCCGACTTTGGTTTCGCTCGCTCGCTTCCCAACGCGATGATGGCAGAGACGCTTTGTGGCTCACCGTGAGATATGTATGCGACGGCAGGTCACAGATACTGATCTCTCACACAGATTATATATGGCCCCAGAGATCTTGAGTTACAAGCACTACGACGCCCGGGTAGACCTATGGTCCGTGGGCGCAGTCCTGTACGAAATGGCCGTCGGCACTCCCCCTTTCCGCGCCAACAACCACATTGAACTGCTGAAGAAGATCGAGCGATCCAAAGGGATCAAGTTCCCCGACGAGGACCCGAGCAAGCAGTCAGACGAGCTCAAGCCCGTGCCGCCAGACGTGAAGGAGCTTATCCGGCGCCTGCTCAAGCGCGAGCCGATCGAGCGCTGTAGTTTCGAGGAGTTCTTTGGGAGTACGGCGCTCGCGAAGTCGAAGTTCCCGCGGCCGTCAAAGACACGCTCGTCTTCGTCGTCTGTGCCTACTAGTAGGACTCAGTCGAATGAACCATGGCCGAGCGAGGAGCCTGTTCAACCTGCGTCCACAGCTGAGGCTGATCGTCAGATTCCTGTGGAAGTGTTGGATCCCAAGGTCGTCTTCCCTCCCAGCAAGTTCAACTTCAAGCGGAAAGAGACCAATGATGGTCAAAGGTGACGCTTTATTGAACTACGTAGAAGACCATTTTCTGAACTAAACCGTTTAAGCGATAGTCCAGTATCATCGCATGGTGACCATGGGGCGCGTCCAACAGTAGAGCGAGCATCCACATCGGCTTCGCGGAATTCTCCTCAGCGGCGACCGCAACCGTTGAGACCGTTGTCCACTGAGGGCTCTCAGATCCCCGGAGAGACTGAAGAAGATGGTCTGCTGCGCCGCGAGTATGTACTCGTAGATGACACGAGAGCCGTCGAATTCAACCGGGCTGTCGATGGTAAGGAATTCCTGATCGCAGTATCCCTGTCAGGCTGCTAACGGAGTAACAGAGATCAGCGGCTTGAGACGTAAGCCTCTACCTGCACAGGAGCGCCGAGCGCCGCTTTCGCCTCTGATTGATGTGGGGGCGAACGTGCCGTATCCAGAGGACAACGCAGGACAACCCAAGTCTGACATCACATTCCCTCCGCCGCCTAATTTCAACAGTCCTCCCTTGTCATCTTCGCCCACCAGCGCTGCGTCGCGTGCGGCAACGAATGCCCTCAGTAGGGCCTTGAGTATCGCATCGAAGAAGCTGTTCGGTGGGAACGGGTCACCGAGGTCTCGCACGTCGCAGGACTATTCGCCGTCCACTTCTTCTCCACGGCGGCGGGAGATCATTCTGGCACGAAGTCCTGATGATGGTGGCGTACGCGACCCTCTAGAGGAGAAGATCCTATCACAGTTGGACGATCTCGCACAGAAGACGGATGTTCTGACCCGATGGGCAGACGAGCTCTACGAATATGTGAAGGGAGTTCCTCAGAGTGAGCTACCATTATCATTATAACCCTATCGCGCATCTCATGCGGGACAAATCGCAGAGCCTTTGCCGGACCCTAACAAGTTCGTGAAGCGCGAGGGCGAAGCTGAGAGGAATGCAGCTAAACGGAGGAATGCGGACCTCGAAGCTGAGAATAACGCCATCACATGCATTGCCGTATACATGCTGGTCATGTCGTTCTCGCAGAAGGGCATTGACCAGCTGCGCAACTACCAAGAGCATATGAAGATGCGGGATCCGGACGGGGAGTTCCTGGTTAGCGAAGGCTTTTTAGACGGTGGGAGACAGTTCGTTGCTTCCGTGTTGGATCATGTCGCTCACTTGCATTTTCCACAGCTCTGACATGGTTCAAGGATAGTTTCGTCCGATGTAATGACCGTGCTACGCTGGTTAAAACATGGCTGCCGGTGCAGTACGACGGCCCTCGGATGTGGCTCGACCATCTAGTGTATGACAGGGCCTTACAGCTTGTACGTTGGCAAACGCCTTTTACATTGATATGGCTCACTAATGGAACGCAGAGCCGGACGGCTGCCAGGAAAGAGCTGCTGGATCAGGCATCTACTCCGGACGAATGCAAGCAGCTATATGAAGAGTCAATATGGCTGTTGTACACTCTACAGGACGACCTGCTACAGAGCGGAAATCCCTTCGTTGAAGAAGATCGGGCAACTGTGGCGACTTGTACGGGTCATTCACCTCCTCTATTCTAAAATATGCTGAGACATCGTGTTGTATGCGTTAGGGATCACGAGGACTAAGCTTCGCCTGCACCGCTGCCAGGATCGCATGAGAATGAACGATCATGACAGACTCCAGGACGCCCGAGCCGATCAGAACCTGGACGACGTCACCCGGATCCCTCCTCCTTGGGAGCCCTCGGCGAATCAGGGTCCTTCTAGCTCTTAGCAGTTGTGAAGTATCATCTGTATGGGATCTCACGTTATTCTCCTCTTATTGTTGTGGTATAGAATGTTGTATGTATCTTTCTCCTTGTACCTTGGATATCTCTCGTGGCTGGAAAGGGTTCTTGGTAATTATTCGAACGGACTCACACCTCATCGTCCTTGTTTTCTGCTCTCACTCGCAATCCTTTGTAAATTACTCACGTAATACTGTACTATATATCATCGATGGTATGCAAGTTTTCGATTCGCGATAACTCGCTGCAGAATCTGCCTTCTCACCTTTTCGCAGGAAGGGTGCATCGGGGCATTAGTATAACACCACACGGGGTATACGAAGCCCTGGTATACAGTGACAATACATAAATGGTATATGGATCAGATTATAATGCTCAGAGCAACCGACTCGCCGCTAGAAGGAGGCCGAGCAGAAATTCATATTAATATTACCCATCAACCGGCTTGCAAAGGCATCCGCGAGTTCTGGTACGTCGCAGTGCCAGGAGAACAAGAGCCAGAGGTCTACATCATCCCCTTATCAGAGAGCGATTGATCCCACAGGAACTATGGCTGAGAAGTGAATTCGGAGTCTCCTCGTTTGGAGTGAAGTAAGTATGCGCTTGAGCGTACAGCATTTGCCTTAGGGTCTTCGTAGGCATGATCATACCTGCACGTATCGGAGTAATTACTATGAAGGTCAGCTTCGACTCGTGTCACTAGCTTCTTCATAGTGCAGACATGACGATAAGGTACGCGGAGAATGCCTGCCACAGGCAAACCACGCACACTCACCACGGAACACATCCTCTTTGGAGCCGCGGCGGGACGTGCGGTAGAAAGGAGCGACGCTAGGAGGGGGTGAGGGTGCAATACGCGCCGTGTCGCGCAAGTACTTCCCAACGAGCCTCCTTACGTGTCTCGCATGCTGGCCACACGGACACCACTTTCATGCCATATTAGAGCAGGAATCATGTAATACTCGATAGCGTAGTTACGTGACATATCAGCGGAACACGGATTTCGACCTACGCCCAAGACGCGACTACATCCCTCCCCAAGCATCAAGAACGACCATGACCATCTCGCTATAAGTGTCCTTCACTCTCCGATGCGTTAATCGAGGACGGCCGGAAGACGGTCCTTAAGCCTACGAATGGTGATCTCCTTCTCCGTATCATCCTGGCCGTTGGCACCAGTAGGACGGGCGCGTTTGGTTGACGAGTTCTCCTCGTCGTCCCGCTTGCGCTTGCTCCCGCTTCCGGATGTCCGGTTGGATTCGATCCCGGACGCGAGGTTTGCTGCCGTGGTGGCCCGAGCAGCCTTCTTGGGTGCTTCTATAAGGCGGAAGGGGGTGGCACCATCGTTCGAAGGCCAGCGATCGGAGTCCAGAGCTTTGCAAAAGGCGTTCTTTAATTCCTCGTGAGTTTCCAGCTGGAAAAAGTCTCCGGGATTCTTGGGGTAGTATTTCTTAACGAAAGAGGAATCCTGATAGTGGCTGGCCACCAGTGTCGCGAATTCGTGAATAAAGTAGGTCAGCGGCGCGTTCTCCCGTCGAGTTCGGGCCCGCTCGCCACCTTCACTGTTTTCGTCAGGTCCGCACAGAATTTGCATCGTCTCCACGTGTGTTTTGACCATGGTAGCTCTGAGGTCTGGATGGCAAAAGGCGAAGATTTCACTGATAACCTGCTCCGACAAGGTGTGTGGCCTGTGATGAATGTAGAGGTATGCAATAGTCCAGAAGTATGATTCGAGGTCGTTCCAAGTCTCGTGAGCGGGTAACTGAGCAGTCTTCCGAAGGCGAGCAATCGATAGGAATTGGATGGTACCCTGAAACGGAAAACCTGTTGGTCTTGAGAATAAAATATAATAAACGACCCTCTTACCGTGATCTCACGTAGATCCGACTCGCTTCCGGGCTCCCCGACAACAGTGGCATACTCGACATCAATGAGGAAGCCTTTGCATCTCTCCACCTCGGGGTAAGCGCTAATCATGATATTATTCACGCTGATATCCCGATGGAGTATATCCTTCTTGCTCATCTGTTCGTGACCTATTGACCTGTCAGCTATATTGGAACAGTAGAACATACGAGGTCACCCACCTAAGAGCGAGTCATAGATCGCTTCCAACGCCTCGCGAGTGCATAAGAATCGACTGAGAGGGATCCCGACGGAATTGAGGATGCAGCGATGATGGATGCGAGGAGGGCACTTGCGAGGTGAATTCTTATCCAGTATATGGGTGTTCAGTACGTGGGCGAGCGTCCGATGCATCTTGTTGTTCGGGTCAGGCGGCTCGACAAGATCTACATCGCTGCGCTTCCTCGCCACGCCGGGAACGTAATCCTTGCCATGGATAATGTCGTATATATCGCCCTCTAGTCTGCGAGTAGGGTCCCGCCAAGAATCCTTGATGATGACGAAGTGGTCTTCGTTGCTGCGCTCCGGATTTTCAACCGTCCCGGGGACAGGGAAGGCGAGCCAGGTGCACGTCCCGCGACCAAGGAGCGCTGTCGAGGTCACCAAAGGTGGGCCGACGGTGATGTACTGCTCGAGCTTCGCACCGTCCTTGGACGGAACTCTGATGGTGCTGCTCTGCGCTCGCAGGATGTCATTGTGTAGCTTCTCAGCTTCCTCTGAGAGCAGGCGCTTCTCTCTCGCCTTCTGGATCTTTTCCTGGAGGAGCGCGTCGTGACCGTGGACCTCGAAGTCTATCGTGGGGTCCACGCCACTACCATAGTAACCCTGGGCGCCGAAGCCAGCCAAGAATTGCCAGAGTGGTTCGGGATTCTCCTTGTATTCAAAGGCCTCGGATACCAATATCGAAGAGCGATCGAAGCGAAAGAAACGAGCGCGATTTCCAAAAACACCAATGCCGCAGAGAAAGCAGCGAGGTCGGCGCCTGAACGAGACCGTGGCGTAGTACGAGATTTGATCCCACACTTTAAGCTGGTAATCATACACGGCCTTTGCGGCGGAGCCATCGGTGTAATAGAAAGGATCCTGCTTATCCTGAGGCTCGACCTCCACAAAGGCCAATGCGCATGGCCACGGGCATAGGCCCATGCCACTCTCCTTTATAATCAAGTCAGGTGTCCCCGGGTCCTGCGGATCCTTCGTGCTCTCCACGGTCTCGAGCTCAATAGGACTGTTCTTTTTCCACAGAGACGAGCACATGTCATTCATTCCTTCCTTCTGAGGTGATTGATATCCTTCAGTACTCAAACGGAGGCCACTAAAGCTTAAACACATACCAAGGGTGTATACATTTTGCGTTCAACTCCCTCTCCAGTGGGAATCGTGCCTAGCCTGGCTGATACTCGGGCCTGATCATCAGGTGATATTCTCTGCGAGACGTCCTCTACCACTTCCGAAAAGTGACGCTGGAAGGTAAGGCGCATGAAATCCTTCATAGACACTGGGCCAACATGTAATCGTGATGCCTCAGTCCCGGCCTCTGTCTTCAACGTCCCCAGACCGACGTCTTGACTGTGGAAGTTTCGACCGGAGGCGAGCGGCCGGTTGGATGGGTGAGAAACCGGCGTATTAAATTTGATGACAGCGGGTTGTTTCCCAGTGGGAGTCCGAGGCCGTCCATCGTCGTTGTCATCCTCGGGGGCGGGTGAAGTGGCACCGAGATCGCGCGAAGGCGAAGACGCCGCAGCCGCGGGGAGGGCATCGTCGTCCAATAAAGGTGCAAGCGGAGAAGCGGGATCGGGTGTATCGGGAGGGGGAGTCAGTGCAGGTTCAGACATTGGCGTGGTAGCGATTGTCAGAAACAGAAGAGGATACTAGTAGAGGCCACAGTCACCCACCGAACTTTTAAAGTCGCTGGAATTGCAACTCCGCTGTTCATTGTCCATTATCTTCTGTGCTTCTTTGTGGCTTGTGTATACGCGTGTTGATGAAGGCCGTGGCCAGTCAGTGCGAGAAGCTGAACGCCTGTTGTGGCGGAAAGGACATGCATATTTCTCACGTGCTCGCGTCCAAACGTGTCATAAGGCGGTAGGGCCGTGCGAGCACGGCAGAGCCCGCTACCGTAGATATAGGTGATATTTGGTAGCAAGCTGAACACTTTACATCCTGAGCAGCGTCATATATATCTATTTTGCAAAAGCAGCTGTGTTCCAGCAATTATTTCTGACTGAGCATTCAACTCAATGGCCTAGGGTCCTGAGAGATGCATCCCTCCCTCAGGTTTCGAGAATACAAATTACATATGCAAAACAACTGACATCGGAGTATTCTGATTTTACCTTGAGACCGCAAGGTCCAAGGCACCAAGCAAGGTCAGTTCTGTCTCTGAGTCCCTTGACAATCATCCGCCACCTTGGCTATAAAGGGGAAGAGAAATGACACGTGGCATGACTATCGGGGTCCTTTATGGACCCTACCTTTGATTGGTCCAAAGCCCTGTCCCGCTCTTGCCGTTCACCATATACGGTTAAGCGCCAAATAGTGTCAAATAAATCGCGTAGATCTTGAAACGATCGCAGGAAACCTGCGAACGGCCGGGGGGTCCAAGACCCACTACCTACGGTAGCGGGAATGTGACAGTTGTCACACCACTACGCCAGCACCAGTGTGGCTGGCGTGCAAGTGAACGTCTCGTGTACTTCCCATTACAGTGCGGCAATCAGGTGAAACAATGACCACTGGCGGGGCAGTTTGTAAGTATGAGCAGAACGGGCTCGCCAACTTATGGCATGCTGTTTGCAGGGTTGTTCTCCGTCTGAGCCTCCGGCCAGATCACTCTCCTGCGAGCCGCTCGTCGACCGCATCGCAGAATTGATGACCCCAACGTGAATCTATTGGCTGCGTTATACATTGTAATTGGGGCAATTGGCAGCATACGATACGATGAAACATGGGATCGGAGAGGTCATGTTTCGAACCGAGAGCAGAACAAGTATAAGTAGGTCACGCATACCCTCAAAGCAAAACCTGGCATGAGGCTCATCAGGTTCGTAATGATAGAGCATGTTTAATTGCAGTCATTAACTGGACTTCTAGTTACGTGGCACAACCGGGTACCAACTATTTCATTGTGATTGTTCCACACGCGGTCTATGATCATGTATACGCGGCCTTCCATTCCATATTTTGTTTTCTTTATGACGACATTTTAGACGGGCCGCGAATTTCTCTTAGTGCGGATCGATCCCGTCCCTGGTCCAGCCAATCCATCTCGCGAGCGTGCTCGGAGGTATAGAATGGCGTAGACAGGGAGGTCCAGTGTCCGCCATACAAACCACCGAATTCGAGTCCCACGATCCAGCATGAGAATGAACTTGTTATCCGCCCGATCTACTCGCGCTATATTCTCAAGATCCTCGCACGCAAGAGGGCCACACTATTAACATGTTACTGACAGGACAGCAGACAGGACGCAGCCAGTCTCCACCACGCAGGGCCTAGGACCGCCAAACACGCCTTCGTCGTACAATCCACGCAGCCCCACTTATCAGGAGCGCATACACATGAAGTATCGCCATTTCCGCGGTGCCGGGCATATACATCGTGCGCAGGGCGAGATTCATCGCGCCGTTCGCCTATACCATTCTCCGCCAATCAGCCATGTTCCTCGCAAAGAGATGAAAGGAGCAAGGAGAAAAAGGACGCACGAGGAGGAAGAGCACGAACCCGTTCCTGTTCACCGCCGGCCCCCTCCTCACTTGTACGCCGGTCTGGACTTCACCGGCACCCCGCTTGCATCTATACCCATGCTGGTGGCGGTGTCGACCTGCACCTTCAGTCTCTACATCGGTGAGTAGACGGACTTGGAAAACGGCCGCGGGAAAGATTTACCTGGTGCGTTTGATCCGGCATAAATATCGAGGGAGTGGAGTGAAAATGGAGTGGAAAGAGATAGCCACTGGGTACGAGATCAGCTCCGTCCAATATTCATATTTTCTCATACGCATTGTGGCAGCGCACCAGCTGATGCTGTCATGCACCCCCTCGCAGAGCTATGTCCTCTTCGCGCCGCAGACACCCCTCGTCTCGGAGAACAAGGAAGGCATCGTCTCGCTCTTCGGTATGTCTTGACCGTCTCCTCGCTTTCGCTGCGCGATGTCCTCGCCGAAGTACTTTCCCCGGCGGCAGCAGGCACTTGCGCGCCGACGGAAGGACAATAGCATCGTGACCACCGCTAGCTCAACACTGAACAGGGACGGACAGCACGACAAAGTCAATCGCAGATGACGACGACGATGGCAGTCTAGTACGAAGGGCACAATGAAGGGCTATCGAAGCGTGAATAATGTTGCATTAGACGCGGGGGGAATGTGAGAGGAGCTGACCAGCGCGGCGGAGGAAAGCAGGTGGATGTGAACAAAATATTCGAGCCGGTCACGCCAGAGACGAAGGCCTCTTTGGAGGCTTTACAGTCAGACATAGTCTCCGGATACTAATAATATATCCAACTCATATGAAAGAGAATACGCGAGAACTGTATCTACCGCTCGCATGACGCTACTGCCACTTGCTCGGCATTCTATGTGGTGAATTCCAGACCTTCAAAAAAGGAGAGATTGATGAGAGGCATGTGCAGACCACACGAATACATAACCCATGCTTTTGTGGCATCTCGGCAATGATGCAACTCACAGATTATATGTAGCATGGATATCTGAGCGTTGCAAAGGGACTCTAGCTGTTGCCCACGAAACATAGCGATGGTGAGTCAGAAATTATTCTCTTCTGGTTATCCAATGCAGGAGTAAATACGAGCCAAAGTCACAAGGTATACGCCCGTTGACAGCCCGACTGGACAAGAAAAGAGGGCAACATATTTCTTTCGGCCGTCCACAGTCAAAATAAGCATAAACCTGGAGCTTAAACCGATTGCAGGAAGGAAAAGCTTAAGAAAGCATGCGGACATGGTGAAGGAGGACAGGAACACGTTTGGGGCGTGTTGCACTAATAATAATATTATATTATTGAATGTTTACTGAAATTATTGAGTGCGTGACGCCCACGTGATGTACTGGCACTGTGCACGTGACTTTATTAGGAGACGCGTATTTCAGTCGCGCCAGGCAACTTTCCACTGAGACACGCCGTCATATTGCACTTCATGCCTGTATCCGCACGTGTGTAGGCCTACCACCAATGTCTAATGCATATGTGCTTTCGTCAGTCCTGCGTGCAAAATCTGGTCCGGATGACTGGATGTTTGGCTCACCAGACTGGGTGTATGCGTGCCTTGGCGACTTCTGATGAACGAGGGGAGGCAGGTGATTTTTCCTATATCACATGCTACGGATTTGAGTTGAGAAAACTCTACCCAGGTTGTGAGCGCCCCTGCTTGCGTGCTCACCTAAAATATGAATCTGCTTCTTATACCGATTTTGGTTTTGGTAACGTTCAGTGGAACTTCACCTCCATGTTTCATAGGTCACTACATTGCTTTCTGCTTGTAGCGGAATCCAACGGCCTGTAGACCTTGGATTGGGCAAGGCTCTATGCAGGTGGGTATGTGAGCGGATTTATATAGAGGAGCCTGCATGTGGTGAATATATTCACCTGCGTACTGCAGCCAGGCGCATATACCCATCTCTGGACTCTACTCACAGAAGTTTGGGCTACGGGAACATTATAATGGTGAATCAACATTTCTATGTCCGTGTTCTTCCCGTTTTAATGGTGACTGGCTGTTTCTCATGCTTTCATTGTTCCGTCCACCTTCAAGACTCTGATCATCATTCCCTCGTTCTGACTGTCTTTCATGAACTCTGATCCAAGAGCCTAGCTATCCTGCAGTCATTTAGGCAAGCAGCAGCCCTCGTAATTCAGAGGATGATGAAAGTCTCATTCATGAATCACAACTGGTCAGGATTTTTCGTTTATTTCCATTCACTAACATTACAGAGAGAGTTCTGTTGCTTGTGTGCTTCGTAGAACTTGCACGCACTGGCCGTAGACTATGTACGTATTCTACCCATGCCTGTTGGCGATCCTCCTAATCCCCCGCGCTAAATCCCCACTTCTCCCAGAAGCCGACTTCTCATGCCGCGCAGGTTTCCATCTTTTGTTTTTATTCTTCTTCTGCCTCAGGTATGTCCCTTCGAGCTCCAGTCGCATTTCGACAGTGTTGTCGCAAAGGGTGACCGGGGTCCCCACCTGCGGTTCAAGCGTTATAATTAATTGCAAGGTACTTACAGTACAACTCAAACACACTCCAGTCTTATGTTTCCTTGAACCTCTTTTCAACCGCTGCGCGTATCATCTATCGTTTACGCCAAAAGCATGTCTGACTACAAAGTCGCAAAGGAGGCGTTCGTGTCTGGAATGACCGGCTCGAGCATTGGACACGTCAACCTGCTTTCCTCCGTTGCGCTGGTCAGTCCGTCTCCCTTTCCTTTCCTTATTTTAGCGCGTGGACACCCCCCAGGTCTCTATAGCCATCCACTCTACCCTGCGCACGCGCTTGCCTGCGCCGTCCACCGCCCACGTCGCGTTTGCCCTCGACTTTCTCTTGCTCGTCACTCCGCTCCTCCTTTGCCTCACCCTTTTCGCCAACTCACCCGGGACGCTCGTCCTCGCGCTCCTCATCCCGACAGGACTCCTGCTGCTTATACCTAAGAGGGAGTCAGGAACGCCCTTGCCTTCTAGTACGGGGGTGGATGGCAGTAACAAGGCAAGGGGACCAGGGATGCTGCTCCCGGCGGTGACGATATACCGCGCGCACATGCTGCTCATGACGATGCTCTCCATCCTCGCGGTCGACTTTCCCGTCTTCCCGCGCGCGCTCGCAAAGTGCGAGACGTTTGGCGTGTCCCTGGTGCGTACTCTCCCTTGCCCCTGTTTCTAGTCCTCCGTCCCCTCTCACTCACCTCTCGCCCCCTGCCGCCATCCCTCTGCCCACCCTCGCCAACCTTCCCTTTCTCCTACTCACATGATACGGCCACCTCCCAGATGGACCTCGGCGTTGGCTCCTTCGTCTTCTCCCAAGGCCTCGTCTCCGCGGCCCCGCTCCTCAAAGACCCGTCGTACCTCTCGCAGCCCACCTTCCCCAAAATCCTCTCTGTTACCCGCAAGGCCTTACCCGTCCTCTCACTCGGCCTTGTGCGAGTGCTTCTGGTGAAGGGCACCGACTACCCAGTAACGTATACTCGCTCTTATGCCTGTGCGCGCGCCGGGGATTGGTTGGGCTGATGCGTGTCGGCAGGAGCACGTGACGGAGTACGGCGTGCATTGGAATTTTTTTATTACTCTGGCGTTGGTGCCGGTGCTGCAGGTCGCGCTGCACCCGCTCATCGCGTCCATGCCGATCTCGCTCCTCGCGGTCCTCTGCGCGCTCGGTCAGTCTGCATCTCCCCCGTTCTCTTTCCCTCTTTCACGTGAACTAACTGATGTTTCATTTCGTGGACAGCACATCAGTTGGCACTGTCACTGGGAGGCCTGCAGAGGTACGTCCTCACCGCGCCGCGGACGACCCTGGTGTCTGCAAATAAGGAGGGGATTGTGTCGCTAGTCGGTACGCCTCGCTTTCCTCGTCTCGACTCTCCTCATTCTCCCCCTATCCTCCATCTTCCTTCCGCTCTCCCCCGCTGTTCCCTCCTCTGTCCTCCGATCCCGCTCCTGTCCTATCTCAATTCCCTGCCCTCTCCTCCCTATGTCCTCCCCTCCGCGCCTCACCTTGCGTCCTCTCTCCTTCCCTCTGCTCCTCTCCCTTTGTTCTCCCTCTTCTCCCGCTTCCCCTCTCACCCCGTTGCTCCTGCCGCTGCTCCCCGTCCGCCCTCCCTCTGCCCTGACTAACTCCCCTCCACGCCCACAGGCTACCTCGCGATCCACCTCCTCGGCCTCTCCGCGGGGACCATCCTCCTCCCGCCCTCGCCCAACTACTTCCGTCGACAGCAACAAGCGCTCGCCCACCGACGGAAGGACAGCAACCTCGTGTCCACAGCGGTGGGGAAGGCCAGAGAAACAGAAAATCCGTTCGCCCATAGGCATAGGGAGGACGACCGGACAGCGACGGAGCTGGTGTCGTATGCGGTTGTGTGGTGGGCACTTGTAGGCGCGTGTATGGCGCTCGGCATAGGGGGAGGGGTGTCGCGCAGACTGGTGCGTGCTCTTCTATCCTTGTCGCTGCTGCCCTCCTAATACCGTTCTATCCGGTAATCGGACTAACTGATTGCATGACAGGTAAACCTGCCCTACATCCTCTGGGTCGCGGCGTACAACACGACGTTCCTGCTCGGCTACCTCGTGCTCGAGCTCATCTTCTTCCCCTCGCCGTTCTCCAAATCGGTGTACTCGCCGACGTCGAAGCTTAAGGTGCAGGCCGACACCGCCGTTGCCGCTTCCTCCGACTCTGCGGTACCCAGTGCAAACCCAGTGAGGAAAGCCCCGGAGCTGTTGGAGGCGGTCAATCGGAATGGGCTCGTGCTCTTCCTCCTCGTGCGTGCTGCTTGTTCTTGGTTTCTGTCTGTTCGCGCAGGGCTGACGGGGTGTGGTGCAGGCGAACCTACTCACAGGCGCGGTGAACCTCGCCGTGCGGACGATGTACACGAGCGACGCGGCTGCGATGGGCATTCTAGGCGCGTATGCTCTACTCATTTCCGGGGCTGCGTGGATCGCGCGGGGGAGGCGATTGTGGCAGCTGTAGTGGGATAAGTATACCTTTGGTGAGCCCAAACTCGTCGCGCGACGGGAAAGAAATGGCTAATGGCTGATGGATGCCCAGTATATACATAATATAGCTTAGAGTCCGCATCGAGTGACTTGGTATGCAGGTGGCGGAGCCCCCCTCCCCCTTACAGCAGACGGAAGAAGGGTCTGCAGGCAGTCTATTCCCGCAACATTGGAGAGCGGGTAAAAGGACGCCCGAAAATACCGATAGATGCAGTTGAGAAGCAGGTGCAAGTCTGGACAGAAAAGGCTGCTGGATGACGTCCGGACACTAACGAAATTCAGCAATGCCGGTGCAATGCCCGGTGGGGCAGCCACACTGGGCATTGTCGGCAACACCGACTGCACAGAGAGTGCTGTATAAGGTAAGTAGCCTTCCAAACGTAGTTAGTTTTGCACGGATGCCGGTGTGTATCCAGACAGAAAGGTGGGTTCGCCAAAAAATAGTCCAGACATGGAAAATTTGAGTCTCGCACCAGCATTGATCGGTATTTTCGCGGGTCCTCTGGTAATGTGGACTACAGGTACTCGTGCACTTGCAACCATGGAGTATTGTTGGACATTACCTATGATACAGGTTACACATAAAAAATGTGTTACTACCAGTGAACTACAAGGAAGGCTCTTATCTAGTTGATGGGGTCAATTTAGCAAAAATGTCTCAAGAGAGTCTAACACTTCAGGAGTTGCACTCTTTTGGGGCTGGCAAAAGATTGTACAGTAGGGATATGTGGAAGATTGGGATTTGTACATAATTCTAGTGCTCACTAACAATTATCTCTTGTGACCGCCAGAATTATTTACAAAAGCCAATCCTCATACATCCTTACCATATAATCTTTTGCTAGGTTCAAAAGAGAGTAACTCCCGAAGTGTAAGAGGAAAAGCAGCTAGCTAATTCTGACTGACAGTCCGGAAATTTTGATATGCAAGACCATTCTGCTTCCTGGCTCTCGGGTGCCACTTCACATCGGACAACTCAATATATGATGCTGACCTGAACCCGGTCGTGAATGTCAAACCGTAAGAAGTAATATACAGCCAAAGCAATATGTAATACTCATTTTGAGATTGTTTAGTCCAGCAATAGACAGTAAGGAATATCAAATATGACATTAGCTGCCGTTAAGGGGAATATATCTGCCCGTAGGCAACCTTTCTCTCCATGTTATATGTGATGACATATAACATATATGGGGACGGTTACCACCCGAGAGTTATAACTTAAGTATATAACGAGAGTGTACGCAACACAGTATTCCAAATATGGCTCAGCATATGGGTACTTGTGATATAATTTACCAGATTCACGCATCAGAATCCACTTCAGCCTGTGAACAATATGTCATATATGGCTTTCAATCGATATTGAGTGGGCCGCCGGCGGCAACAGGCGGCGCCACTCAGCGGCAACAGGTCGGC